GGATTTACTTATTTTAAGTTCAGCATAATTTGAACAGATTGACAAAGAAGAATTTCATACCACTGCATCTGGCTACAAACATACACAGTGTATTACTTAGTTTTACAATTAGACTATAAAGCAAGAAGTACAAGGAACCCAAAGACATCTTTCAATGCGTCTTGGAAGAGGGAAGTGGGAAGATCTGGTAGAATGACTCAGGATCAAACTGTAGTCTAGTCAGATTTATTTGGTTATAAATTAAAATATCCCCAGTCTTGGAACCAGAAACTCCCTGAAAATTCAAATTCTGGATTAGCACATTTAAAATTCACAGGGAAGAAATGACAGCAAAAAACCTCAAGGATCAAGCAAGCTTTTAGCTTGCCTCTCTTGGTTGCTAGTTATATCTACCAAAACAAGGGAAAAACTGAAAAAGGTGGGGAAACATGCCCACTTTTAGAAAGTACGATTTTCTTGACTCCCCATTCCTCCCACAATGACAGAGAGTTGTCACATTGCTAAGCATCTACTACGCCACTTTCAAATACCTTCTCTGAACTTTTAAAAATATCTAATGTTACCACATTGCATTAAAAACAAAAAAACAAAACACCACCAAGCAAAGAGTCAGGGTGTTGTAACGTTCTTTTTAGAAAAATAAAAAGTTACTTTACCTTCAATCCAATTACATTCTGGCCATTAATTTCACATATGTTGTGTTCTGTAAGCAGCCCATTTCTTGCAGCTGAACTGTCTTTTACTATTGAAGTTATTTTTCCATTTTTGAATATGAAGCCAACATGTCCTGTGCTGTCCTTATGCATAACAATAATTCGTTCAAAAGGCCTGCAAAAAACATATTCATACACACTTGTTTACAATGTAGAAGTATTCAACATGCACAGAACAATTCTACAAAGAGATTAGAGTTATACTAATTTCTACAAGGCTTTATAATAGTTGTTCAGGATTATTTTTTTAAATACCAACCACAATTGCAGCAGCAGAGCACCATTTTTTCCACCTGATTTGTCTTTGCCTCATGTCCTTTCTATAGTACTAGTTACTCTCTACCTTTTTCAGAGAAATAGTATTAAGATTAAAGGAATCTGAATAAATTCCTTTGATTTATCAAACTTATAAACTGACATTCAACCTTCAGTCTATGTTGATTCTAACAATGTTGAAATAGAAATTTATTTTAGGTGAGTAATGTACATAACCTTACATAATCAAGTTATAAATCAGCTACTTTTTCTTTTTTAAGCCTTTCTTCCCCCCCCCATTCAGATTTTAAAAGCTACCCATTTATTAGTTTTGGCCTATACTTTCCTGTGTTACAGGTATCCCACCCTCTAACCTGCACATTTAAATGCATTTCTTTTTTAATAAAACTATCTGGTATCTTTTCGGGGGATCCAGGACTTAAACATACAATGCTGTACAGGCTTAACCAAAAGCCACACTGTTAAATGAAATGTAGTTAGAGTAGTGCAAATTTACTGTGCAGACACTTATTTTGATTAAGTAGAGACGTCCTTTTGTACTAAGCTGAATACAAAATCTTTTATTCAAAACAAAAGTGAAGACTCTCAGTCAGTACCAAAATACTGTGAACTCAGACATTAAGGTAAACATTTTTTGCCCTGACCCCAATCTCCCATCTCCAGTGGCTGTCATTAATGTTCAGAACTTTGATCTCAAAGCTAGGAAAGCAAAGGAATAACTCTTAAGACGCCCGTTTTTAAGCCAAGTGGCCCAGAGATAAGGTATCAGTACAACCGACACAACTAGGATTTGTGCAGAACTAAGCAATACTTGTGTGCAATATAAATTTACCCTTGCCAATGAGTGTTTAAACAGATTAAAATATATCAAGGAAGTGGGAAGTTTGACATGCTTGAAACCTATTTGGACAGGGCCAATCTTTGCTTGAACCATGGTTAGTACAGAGCAACTATAAGCATGGGCTCAGGGGGACACCTGATGCTACAAAAACACAAATAATGAACAATCATTTCCCATTTTTAGTTAGCAGTCTTACCTGTCACGCACAATCATTGGAATTCTCTCCCCAGAAGCCTGCTTGAGAACTTTGTGGGCTTTATCAGAGCTCCACCCTGCGCAGTTTTCACCACTGATCTGCAGAATTTGGTCCCCAAACCTCAGGCCAGCAAGAGATGCTGGAGAGTTAGCCTGTACTAACTGGACAAATATACCCTAAGTGCAAAGAAAAACATTTTTCATTATTCTTCCGTAGGACAGAAACAAGGATTTCTTGAAGCCTTTTAAAAAAAACAAAAACTCTTTTTTATCAAATAAAGCTACATGCACAAGTTGCACAAATTCTTTATGACAAATATTTTCCTTTTAACAAGTATGGCATGTTATCATAACTGGCCTAACAAGAAAGTTACAAACACTTCTCAGTTTTCCTCAAGGTTTAATTGGAGTCTCAGAAGCTTTCTTACTGTGAACTTTAAACTCTTATTTGAAGATGGAAAGGCAGCTAAACTTTTATCAATGAACTTTAAATATTTGGAATACAGTGCGTTAGCATACAAGTCTAAAAATTCAGCACCAAGAGGAAGGCTTTTTTTCCTTCTCAGATTCCATACTATGGATCTTGTCTAGATATGTAAAGGACTGGTATCTATGGAGTTTTGTCTGCAAAGTTTTCAGCTTCTAATTAAATTTGCTTCCACTTCACTTGAGAGAAACTCCTAAAAAGCATGCCTACTCAAACTCTACCTAACTAGGACACACAATACTTAACACTGGTTCAACTGAATCTTTGTAAGGAACTTTAGGATTTTTCTATCCTTCAAGGTGTCCCTTACTCTGAAGAGAAGTCCCAGGGTCTTCTGAGGGAGACTGGAATACACTTTTAGCTTAACAAGCCTTAAAAACAAAACCTGCAATGTACTTTGGAACCACAGATACAGTTATTCTCTCTTGCAAATCACCCTTCACGTTATCAAGAGCGCCGTGCATCTTTTGTAAGTGGGAACAACCAGAAGGCAGTGAGGAAAGTTTAAGAACTTATTTGCAATTAGGTTAATTACAAATGGAGAAGAGAAAACTAATCTGATGTTACTTTTTGCAGATAGATAAGAGAAGAGCTTCACTTCTTACTACACTCGACTCTTTTCTCATCAGCAGTACATACCAGTAGTCTAAACAGTCTTGCAACTGGTAGGACACCAAGAATTTGCACTGCAATAATGTCACCCAAAATTTATGCTGGAAGACTAGAGTGACAGAAGCTTGGCAACTTATAGTAGGTTTTGTAGCGAGTGACTGAAGGGTTTTCAGCACTCTATGTAAGGACATACCAAGAGTGCTTTATGGGTGCTGCAAACAGATACAAGTACTACAAAAAGCTAACTACTTCTATACATTTAAAGAGAAGCAAACAATCTGAGACAAAACATTCATTTTGTACCACTTCAAATCTCTGATCTTTTGGAGTGTTTTGAAACACTCCAATTGGAGTGTTAGAATAGAAGAATATTACACATTAGGTAATTTAAAAGTTTACGCTATATTGCAACCCAAAAATATATGCACCATCTGCAACTCCACAATAAAACTGTACAATTATCTCTCACTATTGATCAGTGAAATAATCACTAATTCAACCACTTGCCTACAGAAGCACCACTTCAATATACTTACATTGTCTACAGATTTAAGGCGAAGCCCAATTTTGCCATCCTGATCTTTGCACAAGATTACTTCACGGAGGCCTTGTTTAATTTCTGCTCTGAGAAGTCCAACATCATTTCCTGTTACTGGGGCCACCATATAATTCACAGCGGAAGGCCTTGTTACCAGCTGCTGCTAATTGAAAAAGCCATGTTATCAAACCACTTAATCAGCAACTTATCAGAACAATACAGGCAAGTCAAAACAAGATCACATTTATAACCAGGTGAAATTCAAGATGCTTTATAATTAAGTTTCTGATCAATAATTTAAATTTTGCAAAGAATTCTCTATAGAGGACTTGGTAAAAAGTAAGCTCTAGAGATAGAACAGACACAGCTATTCATTCAACCATCATTAATTTGTACAGAAGCATAATACACTAATTAAAGCTAATATATGGCAGTCTACTTTTAAAAGACAGGAAGATCACTTAATGTCAGTGTCATACAAATAACTAAATTTACTTGAATAATACCTACACCCTGAGACTGTGGAGCAGCAGTCACTTGCAAGTTTCTTTGCATTTCTTCTTCATTAAGACTGAGGCCCATGTATTGAGAGAGTTCGGGATAAAGTCTGGGATATAAGCCTATAGAAAGCAAAGATTTATTTAGTAATACAATGATTCACTTTTTACTATAAGAGATAGTTTTGAAAAAATGGAGCATCTGTAAACTTGTAGTAAATGTGAGCAAATATTTGTTCCCAAAAATACTAAGGAGACACCATAACTAATGTAATATTTCATAATAAAAAGTCATGTGCATTAAAACAACAAACCATGGCTTTGAAAATATATACACCACCACCCACATGGATCTCATTTTAAGATACTTAAGTCACTGTCAGGCAAGCAACTGATTTTTCCCCTGAAATATTTCCTATAGAATAGTGACTAAAAAGCCCGCTTTGAGAATGTAAAGAGTGCTCAGCAAAGCTCTGGGAGGTTCCATGAGGTTTGTAGGGACATGGCTAAAATTGTTTCATAATTACTGACCCCTTAGAGAACATGAAGTAGTAATCTGGCTCTGCAGGGTAAAGAAAACTGAACTTAGAAGCAGACATGCCTAGATCAGCTTAAAGAGACTGATAAAAAGGTGACTACAATGAACAGAGAAGAGAATGCAGTCAACGATTTTTGGCAAAAGGGTTTTAAATAAGTGAAGTCTGCATTGTGCTGCTCAAGTTGGGAAAGTTTTCCATTAAAAAAAATTCTCATATATAGTTTTCTCCTGCTGCAGGATTTCCTGTACTTATAGGGAGTACATTGCCCCTGGCAATGTCAGGGGCACTAAGTCAACGTGCAGGCCATTAGATGCAACGATCTCAGGTCCAGATAAAATATAAGGTCAATGCATCAAAAAAAGGCTAACTGTACCTTTGTCCTCTTTCTGAGCTTTGGTTACATCACCTTGTGCCTTTTTTTCTCCTAGGCTGAATTTCCACAATACTTCAATAGGAGTACTGTTACACAGGTACTGCATCCCAGGGCTTGGACTATGAGCTATGCGTATCCAGTTGAACAGAAGTCACATCACCAGCCCTCTTAAACTTTCATTTATATATCAGTAGGAACAAAGCATTAAAAATTAAGCCCTCGGACAGTCTACATAAAACTGTTTACAGTCTCCTGACAGTAAGAGATAAGCAGGCCTAGCCTTTCCAGGCACCCTCAGCAAGTACCAATTTCCATTAGCTTAGTTCTCCAATTCCTCCCCCCACAACAACTATGAGCATGTTTTATACTG